TGTGAAGTCATTTATGAAGTCCTTTACAACATGCAGTCAAAGAGGTTAATTGAAAAATTTCTTAATGTCATTATGAAAGAACTAGATTAACCCAAGTTAATTCACTTTATTGTTCAAAATAAAGAGGAATAAGCATTGAACTCACTTGCAAATTTGGGGCATGAATTAGGGGTGAGATGTTGTCTTTAAGGACTCTGCCAGTTTAATTAAGATATGGAAAATTACTTATTGTTCTTCACCACTAAAGTGCTAGGAATTAACAGCCAAATGTGATGCCTGTGCCTTTCATATCTCTACCATGTGTTTGTTTGTTTAATACCCATAAGACTACATCATTAAACCTCAAGCACTGATTTCACTAATTCAGCACTAGAGCTACAAGCTACAGCAGCAAACACCTTTTCTAGTCAATCATAATGGAACAGCTGGATGTTAAATGCAATATTATTTTTAGGTTGGTATCTAACTTTGACTTCAAACTGCAAACAGTATTTTCCTCCAAAACAAAATGCCTTCCTATCTTTGTAATGCATCCGCTAAGTATAGCAATAGCACCGCGATAGCGTGCCATCTATTTTCCCCACTTTATTATTTCCTCGGAGCCTTAGAAGCTGCTGCGAGTTGCTAACATCATCACACCCTTTTTCTTCCTTGGAGCAATGGCCGCCTTCGGTGGAACATAACACAGTCTGTTTGTTTTCCTTTAGGAAGTATTACTTAAGAGAGCAGCAGACCTTGTGGAAGCCCTATATGGGATGCCCCATAACAACCAGGTAGGTCACCAGTGCAGCTCTCGCATACATGCTTACACATGTAAATCAATACCTGCTATTTGCAAAGCTGGCAAAGTGTCAACACATTCTTTCTGTACACAGCGTGGTTTTGCCAGCCACCTTGAGGGCAGTCTGATGTGATGCAATGCTCCGAGGGAAATGCTTCATCTACCCATTCTCCTCTCACTGCTAGTTTGCCCATCAGAAATGACAATTAAGTGTAAGGTGCCAAAAGCATAAGCAATCATTAAGGCAAGAGAATAACCTTGAATTCGGTCCAAAATATACAGTGACTAATGGGAAGTCCTAAATAAATCTGCTAAACAGACCGAATAAAACCTACTGCCTTTTGTGAACTGCTGGAAATACATCTACTGTGCTGGATGAAGAAAATATGTGTTTACAATTTTCACATGGCTTACAATGCTGAACTGCAATTTTGTATTAATTTCCTTATTTCTTTAAGCATACTGCGTTGGCGTCACATTGTGTAGTGGTTTGGTATAGAAAACGTGCATTTGAGCCAAGCAAAATCCCCAGGTTTACCTTTGTTTTGCATGAATCTCTTCTTTGGATGTTAACATCATGAGAACTTTGAGCTTTTGCACAAATGTTTCCTAGCTGTTACTAATCATTCTGTGTCTTTATAGGAAATAATTCTGAAACGAGCAGCTGACATTGCTGAAGCATTATACAGCGTGCCACGCAATCACAACCAGATTCCTACTCTAGCCAACACTCCTGCTCATACTGGCATGATGGGAGTGAACTCGTTTAGCAGCCAGCTAGCAGTCAATGTTTCAGAAACATCACAAGCTAACGACCAAGGTATGTGGGTTTTCAAGAGTTAATCCTTGTTGGCTGCGTTTGGTGCCTATTAATATTGGCTAATGTCAGTGCTGTGTTCTACCTCTTTCTCTCCTCGTTGTACGTCTGAGCGCGCGATGAAATGCCACCTTTAACTTTCTCATAATACCTAATTCTTCCTGTTCTTCTGTTTACTGTTATCGTAAAGCATCTCTGGTGGAAAAAGAAATTGGCAAAGCCTAGAAAGCTCTTTATTATTCACAGTAAATATACAGTGTGTTTGTTTATTATAAAATAATTATGTCTAGGTATCTCCACCTGTTTCTGAGTATTTGCACAGATAAATCTAATTTGATGTCTGTGATTGTAAAGTATTTTGTTTATAAGCATGTGTGACATATATGTTACTAATAAAAGAAATAGTTGATTTAATTTACATTTCGTAATTGAAAACGCATGTAGCATATTGCATTTAAAATTAATTTTGATACTAATGAAAGGAGTGAGACCAGATTATTGGATATGTTCAAAACCATATTTTTTGCTTGCAACATAATTATTAAATTGATTGCTCAGATAGAAAAAAATGTTGTTTAAAATCCTGATTCTGCTATCTTTCCTCTTATAAGAGATTGTCTTTTAATGCATTTCCAAGCTAATAAGCCTTATAAAATTCTGCGCTTGATCTTGAATTAGTTTTCACTGATGACTACACCTTATGAAAGTGCCAGCTTATTGTTAGTATAAAAATATCAATCATAAAATGAAGACCCCAAAACAGCCTTTTAAAGTAACTCACTGCAAACAATAAAGTCTTTCTCGCCAGCTCTGGCATTTGAAGGTCTGAAAGTTCACGCAGTGTGTTGGTACCAACCAGGACTCAAGCCTGTTGATAATTGCTACTAAAGACAAACGCGAAGCAAACTGACACAGCTGGATCGAAGAGAGCTTTTGTTGGCTGTCTATGCTAAGAGGAGAGACAACATAGAGTGCTCGCAGATGATTTAAGTAGGGTTGGCGTGATAAGGTTATCTCAAACTGCAAGAGTTGATAGGGCAGTAACAGACAACTCAAAGCAAAGCTGTGCAATCAATTAAAACTGTGTAATATATGATGCATGAGGAAACCCCCCAGCCCTAAGTTTATATTATAAAATAACATTATTTTTTTGGGGTGGGGGGGTTTCTAACACAGTAGGTTACAGTCGCAACACAAGCAGTGTTTCCCCGCGAGGATATGTTCCGAGCAGTACTCCTCAGCAGTCCAATTACAACACAGTCAGCAATAGCATGAATGGATATGGCAATGCCGGCATGCCCAATCTAGGTGTACCAGGTTCCCCTGGATTTCTTAATGGCTCCTCAGCTAACTCTCCTTATGGCAGTAAGTGTCTATTTTTGGTAACACATCATCATATAGATTCATATTTACTACAAAATCAAATACTTGCATTGTTTTGATTTTCTATGTTGTGAGCTACTGGATAAAAGGAGGGGTGACTCTGGAGGCTGGACGTAAAAATGAATTTAATAAATTGATCTGTTTGTGCCATAATACAATCTCAGATAGAAAAAAAAAAAAAAAAAAATTGGACTGCACAATTTGTAACAAAAGTCCAACACAAAAGAGTTTGCCTGTTATCCAGAGAGTGGCCAAGCCAAGGCATTTCATTTCTTTTTTTTTAATATATATTTATATATATTATATACATATATTTTAAAAGGCAAGGCCCTATCACTCTCTTTTTCCGTGTTTGCCGTGAAAACCTCAATCTGAGTCCTGATTATTTTTGCTTTATTGCAGTAGTGCCGTCAAGCCCTACCATGGCAGCCTCTTCGGTCACCCTCCCTTCAAACTGTAGCAGTACACACGGCATTTTCTCATTCTCACCTGCCAATGTCATCTCTGCAGTGAAACAAAAGAGCGCCTTTGCTCCTGTTGTCAGGCCCCAAGCCTCTCCTCCACCATCTTGCACCAGTGCAAATGGAAATGGACTTCAAGGTGAGCTGGATCTCTCAATTTTCTTTGTATTGCTTTTCGGTGCACACACTAAAACTATTGATGGTTTGTATTGGAGAAAGGTACCTTACTGTATTTTTTGGTTTCTGATGCTCTCATGGTGATGTAGAAGAAGTAGAACAGCACATACAATATGCTAAGATTCTAAGCAAATCTGAGGTCAGTTTTAATACTTACCGTTCAGAAAACTCCAGTTGTTGTGACATTTTCCCTCAAGACTTCGTACAGTGAATATTAAAGTAAGAACGTATCCCCAGATGCATCTTGGAGGTTTTGTCTACTCCTTGTGTTTCCTTATACATTTCTGAATACAATCATATGGATGTTTAGAGACAGCAACACTCCAGCAAAATGTGGTGCAATTTCCTCATTTTACATGAGATGCTACAGGTATTGTCAAATGTTTCAAATTAGGAGAAATCAAGTTTAGCTCTTACTCATTGAGCAAAACTTCCCTTGCACCATCTAGCCACTTGTGCAGTGGGTTTGCATGCTCTCTGGGCCATAATTCACTCACTAGTGTTAGATTTGTTACTTTCGTAAGTGAATATCCAAGTATTTTAATTGAATTAGGCAATTACAAACTACCTCTTCTCTCACTTTTTTTTTTTTCTAATCTGCATAAATTCATGTGGTGTAGCATAATGAATAATTTGAAAATTGGTCACCTGCTGGTAGTGGGGCAGGAGGAACTATGATACATTGTACGTTTTGTGGAAGAACAGAAATACGAGCAAAGACGCGTTCCCTTTTGTGGCATATTTTAAAGTTGAGAAGGTAGTGCTGTCCCATTCATTAAAATCATGAAAAGGTTTGCTTGCCTGTGTTTTCCAAACAAAGAACCTATCCCACATGGCAGCACTGCAATTCAGTGAAATTCAGGAAATCAGAAAGTGCTGCAGACAATGGGGGTTGCGACTCTTCTTGACTTTCTTAGCTAAGATAGGCAACTCTTATTTATTCCTAGCATTGTCATGATATCCATAACAAGACGAGCACTCACTGACAAACAGGTGAAGACATACATTGCAATTTGCCAGACTGCCTGCTGATTTTGGATACCTGTGTTCTGTGATATCTAACTCAGGGCACTTCCAAGAAACTTCATCCCACAGAACTGACTGCCCACCAATGGTCCTATCATTCTGGACCAGTGTCTCAGGATGAATGTCCCTGTATCATAGCTTGTTAGTAACCTCTTGGTCCAGAGAAGATAGCATCTGAGAGCTTATTATGCACTCAGGTCAATGAAGGACTGAGGATCCAGCTGCACAAATCTTACTGTAGGGTGGATGTTAAACAAAAGGGTAATTAGATTAACAATTTATGCCACTGCATAAGTCTTTGTAGCTGAAGCCCTACTATGCTGCAGTACATAGAAAACAAGACCAAACATAAGCAATATTCTTAGAGAAGATGATCCATTTGTAAAAATAATCCTACTTTCCTCCATATAAAAATATAAAGTTTAAAAATTAAAAGAATATATGAATATAAAAATTAAATAGTTGTCATTTCAGTATGTGAGTAAAGGGCTTCCCATTTGCTATCCAAGGTTTCAGGTGCTTAAAAGACCTAGGTAACTGCAGAGTGGGGTTGTCAGAAGAGTGTGAGCAGAATGCCCAATTCCCAACAGACACCGAGCCCTAATCTCCTCCAGCACCTCCAGCCCTCCCAGTAATCATCCACTGTCACCCTCAGCTGAAAAATGCCCATTGTGTAAAATCCTGGCAGCCCATTTTGAGTGCACCAGTGCTGACTTAGTTGAGCAGGTGAAAACTGAAGGCCCAGCTGTCCCCGTGCTCAGGGTGCTGTGACCCAAGCAGCAGACCTGGCACTGCCCACAGTGAATTCCCTCCTGCAGGTGCTGCTAAAGCTCTAAGGATTTCTGTTACATACCCCAGAGACCTGAACCGCTGTGTTACAGAGCTGTCCCTGCAGTGCTCAGCATGTGAAACTTCTAAAACATGAAGGCACTTAGAAGGTTCAGCCTGAGCTGCTGGGAGAGCAGGGGGTTTCCACTTCCTATTTTCTTAGTTATTGTTGGACACAAAGCCCTTTTTAAAGTTTAATTACTCTCTCTCTGAGCACTGAACAAGAGGCTGTGCAGAAGCCTCCTATTTTTTGATCAGCAGCCAAACTGAAAATGGGTTGAGGTGTTGATCTGGGGAAAAAAAGTAATGCTGTCCTCACCTTGCTGACACAGCAAAACCAAATCTTGTGTTGAACAAAATGACACAGAGAAATAACAGGAAAGTCTTTCTGGTCTGATAATTAGAGCACCAACTTCCAGGCTGTGGCAAAAACTCAGATTATTTATGTGAGGTAGCACTTCACCTACAGAGGAAAGCTGGAATAGGGCAGTTGGGGTAAAATCTGTGGGTTTGGGTCGTGTGGGAGAAAATCAAATTGCACCTGACACATCCATGTGAGTGCCTTCATCACCGTGCTGAGGGGCATCAGCATTTTTACCCAACCAGAGCTGCCCAATTGAGTCAGTCTGAGCTGCTGGCAGAGCAGGGCATTTCCACTTCCTATTTTCTTAGGTGCTCTTTGACACAGAGCCTTTTCTAAAGGTTAATTACTCACCTGAGCACCGTACAAGAGGCTCGAGAGTTTTCTGATCAGCACGTCAGAGCACATTTTCTATGTTAAAATGAAACAGAATATTGAAGACCATTGGGGCTGCAGTGATCCTCAATCAACAGAGTCTCTCTGCACAGCTGAGAGCACCATTAGCAATGGCCATGGACACTAGGTCAAGCTGAGACAGAAGCAAAAAATTCATGGTCACTAGTTGATTGTTTTTAAGGTGAACCCTGCAGCTGATGGATCTGGGTAGCAGAGGATGACGTGCTCTTTTAACCTGGAGCAGGATGTCCTCTCTATCGTTGCTTGTCATTTTCTGCCTACATAATTCTGAAATAATCAGCTGTTTTTCACCCAGAGCTATGGAAGGTGGTTGGCTATGGCAAGGCATCAGCATGCTGACACAGTCAGGCCATACAACCCCCTTGATTTTTCATATCAAAGTTTGTTATCACTGTGAACAGATAGTCAGATGAGAACATGGCAAATTCCTATATGCAACAGCCCTTCAGACAAGGGCAGTGCTTTTATGGGGGTTTGGGGGGTTTACTGCAGCAGTTCTTGCTAAGTACACCCCTGTGAGATTTGTCTGTGCAAAAAAGATTCTGCTCTTGGTGCTTCTGAGATGACTGCCAAGGACCGAGCATAGAGAGGTCTGTAACCAACACAGGGACTCAATATTGTCCTAAAGAGATTCAAGAAAGAGGGTAAGAAAAATTCCCAAGTATAAAAAGAAACAAACCAGTGAAATCAGTGCTAAGATGTAGTCTCCTTCCTTGCTACACTCACAATCCCTTCCTCCTTGTACTGTGCTGTGCATACATGCATCCTTTGCCAATTGATACTGCAATTAGGGTCAGAACTTGGAAACTGCAGCTTGCAGAGAGAGATGCACTGCAAGTATGACTCCTGTAAGCCTACAGAATAGGGCCTTTGGGCCCTATCCAAAAAAACACAACCTTGTTAACTTTGTATGACTTCCATTAGAGAGCCTATGATCAGAAAGTTAAGCACTTCCATGTTTCTTAAGAGCAGGATGCTAGAATATGGGTTACTTAGGGCAGAGAGCTTTTTACTGTTCAAAACAATGGACGTATAAGGTATAAAATATTTTTTTTTGCACAAAAGGACTAGCTTGCTGTAAAGTTGGAAGTGTGTTCAGAATTCAGTTTTCAACTGTAATTTTCTTGTAAGTGACTTTGAAAGATAGTGCACTCTGGATAAGCCTTATGATGTAATGGCAGAGCAAAAGGTTCTCTACATTCTTTTAAAACTGCATCCTGCTTTATTTTCTGGTTTCCCCCCAGATGAAACTATTGTTATTTAAACACTAGCCACCCTGTTTTTCTTTAGGGAGGCATTTGCTATCAGTTTGCACAGAAAGAACCAGAGAGCAGCAATTCACGACTGTCAAATGTCACAACTAAAATAAATAGCGAAACAAAAGACTAGAGCACTGATTTTGCATCACCTCCCCATTATGCAACAGATGGAATTTGACAAAAACAGCTGAATGGATTAAGCACAAGATTTCAGCCCTTATTCTCCTGAAAAGCATGCAGCAGCTACCTATATTTTCACAAATATGCCCCATCCCTGGAGGCATTCAAAGCCAGGCTGGATGTGGCTGTGGGCAGCCTGCTCTGGTGGTTGGCGACCCTGCACATAGGAGGGGTTGAAACTAGATGATCACTGTGGTCTTTTTCAATCCAGGCCATTCTATGGTTCTATGATTCTAACTCAGAAGCCAATTATGAGACTTCCAATAAACATGTGATTAAAATATACAGGGTATTATTGCCAGGTATTTTTGTGCTCTTAGCACATTTCTGCACACAACTTCTGGAAGAAAAATCAGGATTCTTTTTTTTCTGCAAAGTTTTCATGTGAAAAGAGAGCAGAGCAGATGAGCACTGCTCACTCACACTGTACTCAGCATGCTGGCACAGCCCATGTCCCTCCATCACCCCAACATGGAGCAAAGTGATGGATACCAGTTGAACATGAACGCAGCATACGGAAGCGCAATGTATTTTGAGATGACCTGTGCTCTCCAGGGTAGCTGGGGGTTGTACTGTAATAGAACAGACCTCCAGTTGGCTTTGGACGTGCTCTCATGGTCACGAGTGTCCAGGGGGGGAGTTGCCCTTCCCATCCTCCAGGCCAGGACACCCTTGGATGAATGGCACAGCTGCTCCCCAATGGGATGGGAAGGCCAAAAAGTGAAAGGGAACCCAACCTATGAAGGGCTGTCACAGAGCTCGGTGCTCCTCTTACCTGTGTTGAATATTCAATGGAAGCATGGGATGCAGACTGAGTACTCCTCCTGGAAGCAGTCTCTCTAAATAAATCACCATTACGAGCTGTTTTGTTTCCAGTTGTGTGACTTCTGTCCCATTTCAGGTTTGAAACATGCACTGAAATTATAACTGTAGCTCCTGGTTGTTGTAGGGGACTCTGCTACGTCGGGAATGTGTGTGTACACAAGTCCTCCAAACCATAAAGTTGTACCAGGGAATCTGAAATAAATTAATATTGTTGAAATTAATGAACTGAGAAATTGAAGTTCACATCGCTACAAGAACAAATTTATTAATATCTGTTGTACATAAATTAATGAGAAATATCATTATGACAAAAATTAAACAACGCAACAATTAAAGACAGTCTAAATTATGTTTCTACCAAGGAGTTAACTGGAGAAAAAGCAGCAGGCTTTGGCATCTCAGTGTTAAACTGGAGGAAAGAACGAGATGGTGGGATAGGGATATTAATCTCGTGCCTTTTTATAGCAGTCGGTGTATGGATTTGAGAGCAGGTGTACGGCACTCGGCTTTGATCTTAGAGAGTCCTTGACTGGCTTGGCCCTGCTACTGTGATCAAGTGCAATTAGGAGAATGTTGGAATGCAGGTTTTCTGCTCAGGCTCCGGTTCTGGGGAGGAAGCGGAGGTTTGCGGGGCTCTGCTTGCTGGGCCAGGATGTTCCCAGGGCTGGCTGCTAATGGTGCTCTGCCAGCAAAAGATTGTTGGGATCTCCTCTGGAACGGTGCAAGGGTGCTGTGGTGGGGAAGCATTCGTGCAGCGTTCCTCCGCTCCATGCAGTGCTGGATGCCAACGGGCTGCACTGTGCTGTATATATGGGGACACCCCATGTGATGCTCCATGTCCGCCCGCCGCGAGCCAGACGTGCCTTGTTCTACAGCATGCAATAACAGCCGGTTTTTCTCTTTTTCTTTTAGCTATGTCCGGGCTTGTAGTCCCGCCAATGTAAAGTCATTTTGTTTACCTACCGTAGCACCAAGCTTCAAGGATGGGCTTAGGGGACACGTTTAGTATATTAAGACATGCTGATGGAAACAGTGTCTTCAAACAGAATCAGCAACAAATCGAAATGCTACAAAAAAAAAAAAAAAAAAAAAAAAAAAAAAAAAAAAAAAAAAGACTTTGTTTAAAGATTTTATTTAAACTATTAAGAATCTACATGCAAACAACCTACTTCTTCATGAACAATTCCATTTTATTGACTGAATTTTTTCTCATATTTTCACATTTCTCAGTCCTGAAGAATAAGGAAAAAGCGACGCCTATTTTGTATAAAGTTTCTGATTACGTCTTGGCTATGTCTAGTACTTGCTATGTGTTGGGAGAAACTTTGTGGATGCACCATTTTGATTATCATGAAACACTGATGAAAAATGCCTCCGAACATTTTTCTGTACTCATAACTAGATTCACAATGGTTGTGTATCTCTATAATGTGAAATATTTTTTTGTGGTGGAACAAAGGGGGCCAAGGAGGTCATGAGCCATCAAACTGGAAGAAGGATGAATATATGGTCGGAACAAACACCGGGGCGGGGGTGGGCGCGGGAGGGTTTATCATTGCTTAACTTCATCTTAATGAAATGGAACTTTGTAACTTATTGTAGTTAGAAATTGTAACTTTGATATTGAATTCTCTTGCCTTCAACAAGCACACTGACAGAGAAAAAAATTGCTACTGTCTGTTGGTAAAAACCTATACTTCCACTGCTAGAGCTTCCTGTTAAGCAAGTGTGATCTGCAACATTTTTTCAACTTTTGCTAGCACTGTATACTATTGCATTCTTAGGCTACTGTGAAGTCTATGTTTCTTGTACCAGAAAATTGTCCTTTTGACTTCTAGATCCTTCTTCCCTAATGTGTTTTGTATGTGGTTATAAAATTGTAGACTTTTGTGATTTTGCCAAAGTTGTAGCTAAATATTTATACACTTGTCTTGAATTTTTTTCAGATCCACTTAAATATTTAGAAAAGCAAATTTTATTCCTTATGAAGCCTGTAAGGAATAAAATAGTCTTACCCATCGCAACACCTTCTTTCACATAAACACTTGCAGTCACTAAGGGAATTTATTTTGTAACATATCAACTATAAATATTGTATTTATCTTTGAAATTTTGTATATTGCTTTTCATCATTTTTTTTTTTTTTTTCTTGTATGTATTGGTTTTTGTCATGGCCTGGTATGGTGATGCTGAGAGCAGCATTCAGCCAACAGCAGTTGCCTTCATGTTTTTCTTTGAAGTAAATCAGCGTCCGTGCATTTCATTTGTACTTGGTGAAGTTGCTGTTATTTAGACTTTCCATCCTTTTCTTTCTTTCTTTCTTTCTTTTTTTTTTTTTATTATTTTTGAGGAAAAGTCAAATTCATTGTTTATTTTTATATGATTTTTAAGTTATCAGAACAAATAATTTTGAAAAAGAAGTTGTTTGTTGTATAGTCAAATCCAATTTGTGCCACATGGCTGTAATGAATACTAGTAGAATATGTGCATGTGATACAGCCACAAAAAAGAGGAATCTGTTTTGTGGTTGCTTTTTTCCCCCCCCTTTTTTTCTTTCTTTTTTTTTTTTTTTCCCCCTTTATTTTCATTTATTTTTTGTTCCGTTTATTTTATTATTATTACTGTTTGTTTTGTTTTGTTTTATTTTATTTTATTTTATTTCAAAGGCTGTAACAAATCATTGTTAGCTGCCACCCATGACTTTGCCACATAGCTGAACTGTGTTTACTGGGAAAAGTCAGAGGCCTAAAAGTTTAAAATAAATTCACTTCTGGTGTTTTAATTAAAACGTTTGCCACATTAACTTCTCCGATGCCTTAAAAGTGAACTTCTTTGAAGAACTTTTGTGCTGTTTTATCACAGGCTTACACCACAATTGTTAACCGCTACTTCATTTGGATGATTTCTGGTGTAAAAGAAAAGCACAAACCCGGTGTACAACTCTATCACTCCTTTACGTGTCTATTTTCTGCTGCACTCTGCATCCTCCCGAACCCTGCACTGTTTAAAACAGAGAAAAGTTTTACTCGAGATCAGGATCACACGTGATTTTTAAATGCCTGGGGTTTGTTTATTTCGGTTTCTCGCTTTTTTTATGGAACTTTTTGTAATAGACCCACAGATGACTGTACTTTTTAAACTGGAACGACTTCCATCGTGTTTTGTGGCTGTTAGTGCCAAATCCATAGTTTGAAAACATAGAGAAATGTTTTTGGTTTTCTTTTACTTTGCACTAAATGGTTTGCAAATGCAGCACTGCAAAACATTTTGCAAACTGCAGCAGAATTAAGGTTTGAACCAAAAAGGAGGGATCTCTTTTTTCATTTTTTTTTCTTTTTCTTTTCTTTTTTTCTTTTTTTTTCCTTTCTGGGCAAAAAATGCACATTTTAGTAAAGTGTTTATTAAAGGGTTTAAAAGAATGATACAGTGTGTCACAGCCAAGAAATGCCCCGCGCATTTATTTGGTGATAACCAATAAGGCTTAGCTAAGTGGAAAAGCCTGAGAAGTCACTTTGGAACTGAATTGCCTCAGTTATATTTTGTCTAATAAGGTTCTGAGCTAACGAAGAGGTCACGTGTACATGTTAAAAACATTTGCAAGTTTCTTCATAACTGCAACCTGTTTGTGTTTTAGATTACTTAGAGCAGCCATCGCTTCATCGTCTCCGAACGGAAAGCTTCACTAAATGGTAGATTTTACTGTTAAAGACCCTACAATAAGATTGTTTTATCTGTACATTTTTTCATATATTTAACTGTATAAAAAAAAAAAAATGTTCATTTTACACAATATTTAATTAAAGTATTTCTTGTCTGTGAATTTCATTTTTTAGTAAGTTTATCTGGTTTGATTATTAAAAAAAAAACAACAACAGGCTAAACACAAAACAAAAGAATGCAGCACCAGGGCTCTTTTCTAACCGCCAGCGCTCGTACTCACGTCTCAATTAAAAACCATAAGCCACGAAATAGGTTTTCCCTGGGAAAAAGCCAGGATCCTGGGAAGGAAGGCAGCAGCCTGCTGCTCCGCCATGGTGATGCGTCCCACACAGCCTGTATGTAAAGGTAACGGCAGAGCTGCTTCTTTTTGTTCCATTTTCAGATGGCATTGTGAGATTCTGTCAACAGGAAAAGTTATTTTAAACGCAGCATAACCCAAATTTTCCATGCAGTGTTTTCGCACTGAAGGTCAACCTGCTTATTTTCTCAATGCTGATAAGAAAGCAAATGTTTTTGATAATTATAACACTGAACACTGAAGTATGTTGTCCCTTGGATTCCAGCATGTGTAGTGTGCGTATCATGTACCAGAGTGTGAATGTGCTGAGGTGGACACGAGTCAAACCTCCTGGGTACAGGGTGTGTGCATGGGAGGTGGCTCCAGCACTGACCTGAAGCTGAACACATCCTGGCAAAAGAGGCAGTTCACCAGGCCACTTCTGCTCCAGCACTATCCGGGGCTGCTGGAAATGTCAAGAAGGCACTGAGAAAACCAAGCTTGGAAGAAAAAATACGTATGTGCAGGTGTGTATTCCGCCACATGACAGGTAGAGTGCCTTCGGTGCCTTGTGCTTCTGTAGTTCAATGATGGAGTGCGATGAGGAGCTGCAGCACGCTGTAGCAACATTCTAGAAAGAAGCAAACCCAGGGTATTTAACTGTGTTTCCTCCAATATTTCCATCATTTTTATATTTGATGTTAAAAATAGAGAGCACTTTTGATTACGACTATTATTTTGCATTGACAGCCATTTCACTCTGTGTTTGTACCTGCATATCATGTCTAACCACTGGCACAATCAGACGCGCTCCACTAAAAATAAGACTTTTTACGGGGATGAAAGTCTGCATGATGCCTACTGGCACTGTTCCTTTTAGGTTCGTTTCAAAGGTTTGAATAACGAGTGCCTAAATGGTTGGTCTAACATTCAATACAAAGAAAAATACAAAAGAAAATAAAACACACATTCTGTGTTGCGAACGACAGGTCCTAGAGCGATCCAGCACCCGTGACACATCTATATCCATAACTTGGTAATCATCCTGCCAGGAAAATGTGTTGTGTCAGCTCACACCAAGTTTAGAAAAGCAAAGAAGAAGATGATAAAATTTCCTTAATCGAAATGAAGGAATAGAGTCTCTAAAAGTATATGCCAATTATTGCAGAGCAGCTTTTTAAAGTCTTTCAAGCTTTTAAAGATTATTCAAAGCACTTGAAATAGGCTTCAATCTAATGCCTCATTTCATTGCATTAAACAGCCTAGTTAATAAAGAATCAATATATTCAAAGGGCAAGGTTATCTTTTGTCTATAAGGGGTGGTGTCATTCTGAACCTTTTATAGTTCAAATGCTGAAAAAGACCTCATGAAATCCATACTCATCAAGTGGGTCAACTAGAGCAATAAAGAGGCCCCTGAAAGAATGGCTGCACTCCTTTAAAACAACTATAAGTCTTATCTCCCCCGCATAGTGCTTGCGCGGAATCAGCCAGAAAATGTCAATTTCTCATCAAGACAAGAGGCCCAATGATAATTTTTTTCTAGAGAATACATACAATTAGGAGAATGCAGAAAGGCCCCATCAGTGATTTGTAGCTTATTATGTCACCAGCAAGCTGCGATCTACTGCTAAGCAGATAATAAGGGCTGTTGATAACTGAAGTGTCAATATGCCAAAGAACGATTTTTGAATGTGAGCCCTTGTGCTTTTTTTCCCCTCCTCGTGCAGATCGCAGGGGCTGATAACAGAGCATCTGCCAACCGACACCGCGCGCCGGACCACACAATTAATGCCATGAATAAATAGCACAAAAGAGTTTAGATTCTTTATACTCTTTGAGACAATTCCCTGTTTTACCCTTCAAGGATTTCTTTTATGTTCGAATAAGGTTGCTTTTAATGAAATTTAAACTCATCAGAGGAAATCAAAACCTTCAAATCAGATTACAAATTGATTTTTTTTTGGTCACTTGTCGTTATACAATGTACTGCTGTAAGTTTTACAGGAAAAGGAAGAGAAAGTGCCGAGTATTGAGTAAGAGTATGCAAACAGCCTTTGAAAAGGCATATGAAAGAGGAACATTCCTAAAATGCCACAAGAAAGTTTTGAAGAGTTGATGTGTTTCACTTAACACATGATCGTTACTGTTACGTTCATAATGTGCTGGTTATAAAGAAAAAACTATACTAGAACTTTGAAATGCATACATTAAATAACCAAACCCAAATGATCTCTGTTTTTCTTATATATAATGCTAGATGTCTTTGTTACATACAAGGAATTAAACGTTATTTCGCAGAGCTCAGGTCAATAGCAGCAGAAGGTGAATCTGAGAGTGGGTCTGGTACCCCTTCCCATTGGTGACGTTGCCAGTGCAGTTTGGCCAGCTAAAATATGATGCTGGCAACATATGCTATATACAGTCATGATCTTTTTGTTTCCTTCCACGTTACAATAAAGTTACTGTTGTAGTATCACATTTTTGTTTTCTCTTTATTTATCAGCTTGAAGAAACAAGACATAGTAAATTGGTTACTAAATGGTAATTTTTTTTGCCTGAAGTTTTTAGAAGACTTCTGTTGTGATGTGACACTGTCTTCTGCTTGCCCTGAGACAAATGAAAAGATTTGAGAAACTTCTTTGTAACAAAGGAAGGCATTAACTGCCCCAGACCACTGTGAATGGTGAGTGCAAGTAAGATCTGCTCCAAGCAGGCAGAGCTCACAGCGTTGTATAGATTGCTCAAAAGCAAACAGCCCACCAACCAACCACAAACTAACAAAAATGGAAACTGAGTCTAGAATTGATCTGTGTAATGCAGCCAACAAGCTCTGAAGTTGTCCTGTACTGACAGTGGGATTAGCATAGGGACAGCAAGGGGAAAGAGGAGATCAGACAGGAGGAAGACCTGGGGGAGCTGCACAGAGCAGGGCTGCCCTGGGCACAGGGCTCCAGAGCTGCCATTGCCTCCGCCTGGCTGTGGTACCAGTGGGCAGCAGGATGCTGGCATCAACCTGGTCAGACATGGGAGCACTTGAAACCATAATGAATAGAAATAATAATAATTCAGAACCTGCAATACGTTGTCTTGCAAGGCTGTCTGGGCAGACCAAGCGTCACTCAGTGAGAAAGGGGAAATAAGTACTGAAAAGGACAGGAGCTGTGCTGTACAGTAGGAGCCACTCCAGCTCAGCAGGGAGTGCCATCTCTGAGCACGCCAGCCCTCCAGCAGTCTATCCAGCCCCCCTGCTGCCCCATGCCCTTCCCTGGGGCAGCAGTAGGCTCTCCATAGGGCAGCAGGCAGGC